ATATCCCTTTCTTGTGTCAAATTTGTTCCCATGTGCATTTCTTTTGGTGCTCTTTCCTTTGTTTCTTTTATTGCATAGTTATATTGAGAGAGGTGTATATTGAGAGAGGGATGTATGGGGTTTTCAGGAGGACTAGCACCTCTGGTGTGAGGGCTTGCTGAGCCCTTTTCAGGGCTGCCCATCCACCTTTGGTGTCCACCTCTCACCCAACTCTCACCTGTGACTCCAAGAAGCTGTAGCATGCACAGCAGCCACACCCCAGTAAAACTATCTCAGCAGATGGGCCAAACCAGACTGAAGGTAACTGATGGGCCTCAAACCTGTCAGTGAGTTAGGGGGGTGTCTACCCCAAGCATGTGAAGACTTCTCCTGGCAGAATGAGTAGATGAGAACAGCTTGTTCCAATCACCATGAGGGTGGCTGAAGCAGGCGCTGTGGAGTGCTTAGAGGTCAGTCAGACGCTGAAGACACCAAGGCCACCCACTGCATCCCAGGCCATCTCCAGTTGTCTTGACTTTTGTCCTGCCACTGGACTTTGAAGACTCTGGAAGAGAGAATGAAGCTGGTGACTTTGTGCAACTCTGCCTCACTTAAATCCAATTCATCCATGAGTCAAGACATCACCCATGATGTCATTGGTCCTCTTTGAAAACAAAGAACAAACAGCAACAATATCAAGAGAGGTAATGTTACATTAGATAGAGATCTGGCCCCAGAGTCAAGAACACCTGGCTTTTTTTTTTATTTTTAGTTTTCAACATTTATTTCCACAAGATTTTGAGTTCCAAATTTTCACCCCATCTCGCCCCTCCCCCCACCCCAAGATGGCATGCATTCTGAATACCCCTTCCCCTAATCTGCCCTCTATTCCATCTCTCCCGCTTCTCTTATCCCCTTCCACTTTTATTATCCTGTAGTGCAGGATAGATTTCTGTACCCCATTTCCTGTATTTCTTATTTCCCAGTTGCATGTGAAAACATTTTTTTTAAATATGTGTTTTTAAAACTTTGGATTCCACATTTTCTCCCTTCCTCCCTCCCCACCTACCCTCATTGAAAAGGCAAGCAACTCAATATAGGTTATACGTGTGCAGTTATGCAAAACACGTCCATAGTAGACATGTTGTGAAATACTAACTCTATTTCCCTTAATCCTATCCTGCCCCCCCCAATTTATTCTATTCTGTCTTTTGACCCTGTTCCTCCTCAGAAGTATTTACTTCTGATTACCCCCTTTCCCAATCTGCCCTCCTCTCTATCATCCCCCTGCTCTCTTGTCCCCTTCCCCACCTATTATCCTGTAGGGTAAGACAGACTTCCATACCCAATTGAGTGCATATGTTATCCCCTCCTTAAGTCAAATCCCATGAGAATAAGATTCACTCATTCCCTCTCACCTTCTTCTGTTTCCCCTCCACTGTAAGAGCCTTTTCTTTTCTGTTTTTTTGTGAGATAAGTTACCCCGTTCTACCTCTCCCTTTCTCCTTCTCCCAGGATAATCCTCTCTCATCCCTTAATTTTATTCTCCAGATATGACCCCTTCATCTTCAACTCACCCTGTGCCCTCTATCTATCTATCTATCTATCTATCTATCTATCTATCTATCTATCTATCTATCTATCTATCTATCATCTATCTATCTATTTATCTATCTATGCATACATGTAATTTTTTCCCTCTAACTACCCTAATACTGATGAAGGTCTCATGACTTATAAATATCATCCTTTCATGCAGGAATGTAAACTGTTCAACCTTAATAAGTCTCTTATGATTTCTCTTTCCTGTTTACCTCTTCATGTTCCATTTGAGTCTTGTATTTGAAAGTCAGATTTTCTATTCAGCTCTGGTCTTTTCATCAAAAATGCGTGAAAGTCCTCTATTTCACTGAATGACCACTTTTCCCCTGAAGGATTATACTCAGTTTTTCTGGGTAGGTGATTCTTGGTTGTAATCCTATCTCCTTTGCCCTCTGGAATATTATATTCCATGCCCTGCAGTCCTTTAATGTAGAAGCTGCTAAATCTTGTGTTATCCTGATTGTGTTTCCACAATACTTGAATTGTTTCTTTCTGGCTGCCTGTAATATTTTCTCCTTGACCTGGGAACTCTGGAATTTGGCTACAATTATTATTATAAGTATATGAGAATCATTAGCATACAGATAAGTGAATCCATGGAAGCTGAAAAGATTACCAAGCAAAACAGTATATATAGAGAAGAGGACCCAGGACAGAACCTAGAAGGACCCCTACAGTTAGAGGGAATGATCTGAATGAAGATCCAGACAAGGAGATAGAGAAGAAGTAGTCAGAAAGGTAAGCAGAGAACCAGGAAATATTTATAGCAGATCTTTTTTGTGATGGCAAAGAACTGGAAATTGAGAGGATGCCCATTAATTGGGGAATGGCTGAGCAAGTTGTGGTATGTGAATGTAATGGAATACTATTGTGCTATAAGAAATGATGAGCAGGTGGACTTCAGAAAAACCTGGAAAGACTTGTATGAATTGATGCTGAGTGAAGTGAGAAGAACCAGGAGAACGTTGTACACAGTAACAGCCACGTTGTGTGATGACTAACTTTGATAGACTTAGCCCTTCTCAGCAATGCAAGGATCTAAGACATCTCCAAAAGTCTCATGATGGAAAATGCTATCCACATCCAGAGAAAGAACTATGGAGTTTGAATGCAGATCGAAACATACTATTTGTTCTTTTTTTTTCCCTTCTGTTTTGTTTGTTTTCTCTTTCTTGTGGTTCCTTCTATTGGTTCTATTTTTTCCTTACAACATCACTAATGTGAAAATATGTTTAATAGGAATGTATATGTAGAGCCTATATCAGATTGCGCATTGTCTTGGGGAGGGAGGCGGAGAGCGAGGGGGAGAAAAATTTAAAACTCAGAAGCTAATGGAAGTGATTGTTGATAAATCAAAATAAATTAATTTAATAAAAGAAAAAAAAGTCACTTTTTCTCCTCTGACACTGCCACTTCCCTGGTTTGGGCCCTCATTACCTCATGCCTGGACTATTGTAGTAGCTGCTGGTGGGTCTGTCTGCCTCATCTCTCCTCATTCCAGTCCATCATCTGCTCATCCACCAAAGTGATTTTCCTAAGACACAGGTCCCACCATGTCTCTTATTCAAGAAATTCCAGTAGCTCCCTATTGCCTTCAGGATGACATGTAAAATCTTGTTTGTCATTCAAAGCCCTTCAGAACCTCCCCCCCTCCCCCTGCCTCCAGTCTTCTTATATCTTTTACCTTCTCACATACTGTGTGATTCAGTGACACTGACCTCCTGGTTCTTCCCTGAACAAGACCTTCCATCTTGCAGCTCCAGGCATTCTTGCTGACCATCCCCGTGCCTGGAAGGCTGTCTCTCTTCATCTCAGCTTCCTGGCTTCCCTGAAGTCTCAGCTGAAATCTCACCTCCAGGAAACCTTTCCCCATCTGTCTTAATTCCAGTGCCTTCCCTCTGTTGATTATCTCCAATTTATCCTGCCACCTGTACATTGTTTGGGAATAGCTGTTTGCATGTTGCCTCCCCCATTAGACTGTGAGCTCCTTGAGGTCAGGGAGTGTCTTTTGACTTTCTTTGTATCCTCGCTCCTTAGCACAGTGCCTGGCACATAGTAGGTGCTTAATCAGTGTTTACTGACTCTAGCTTCCAAAGTGATTTTTTGAAGCATGGGTCTGATTGTGTCACCCTTCCACCCCTCTACAAACTCCAGTGGCTCTCTATTGCCTCCAAGATCAAATAGAAGGTCCTCCATTTGGCATGGAAAGTCCTGGCTTTCCAGTTTTCTTATGTCTTTCCTGGTCTCTTCGCATTCATTTGGTGTACTTCTGGGGATGCTTGTGTGTGTTGTTTGCCCCCTTAAGAGTAAAATATCCTTGAAGAATGGACTTGCACCATTGCTTTTTGTACCCAGAACCCTTAAACCAGTGCTTAATAAAGGCTCGCTGCCCATTCAATAGGAATTCAGCTGTTACTGAAGTCCTGAGTTTCATTCAAATAAGATGTGTCCAGATTCCAGGAGCTCACTAGTCCCTCTGTTATCTGCCCTAGACAGATTACATCCCCAGAACTGTATGTTGTTCTGGACATTATGCTTTGGCAAGGCCATCGAGCAATAGAAGGATGCCCAGAGGAAGGGCATTTGGTACTAGGGTTCTTGGTATGTGTCATATAATGGGTGATGTCTGTGAGATCTCAGGAGTGGGTGAAAGAACTCAAGGTATTTAGCCTGGAGAAGAGAAGACACCAAGGGGACATGAGAACTGTTGTCACATATTTAAAGGGTTTTCTTGGGGATGAGGGATTTATATTTATTCACTGGTATCCAGAGAACAGGACCAGGAGAAGTGGGGAGGTGTAGAGAGACTGAGCTCTGCTTGATGTCTGGAAAAACTTCATTAAGAAACAGTGAGAACTGTTCTAGGGAGGGAACTTGGCCATGCAAGGACTAGCTGAGGTTTAACTGAGAGGTTTAACCCAGAAACCACAGGCTGACATGTTCCTCTGTTGCTCTAGATGGCAGAACTAGGCTGGAGATGTGCAAGTTACAGGAAGGCAGACTTCAGATCAGCCTAAGGAAGAGTTTTCTAACGTGTTGAATGGGATGCCTTATAAGAAAATGAGCTCCCTGTCTTTCGAGTGCTCAAGCAGAGAATAGATGACACAGAGTTTAATATTGGAAGGGAATTTTGAGATCAGCAAGTTTAATACCTTCATTTTACAAATGAGGAACAGGCCCAGAGGGGGAGATGACTACCCCAAGTCAAAAGGGTAGTAAGTAGCAGGGGCAGGCCTTGAGGCTTCTGGTCCCCAATCCAGGACTCCACTTCTGTCAGGGATGTTCCACAGGCGATCACCTAGATGCTCTCGGAGCTCCCCTCCATTTCTAAATCACTGACCTCTGAGATCCCTTCCAACCTTTGGGAAACAGCTCCAAAGAGGGCTGCTTTTAGATGTAGAAAACACACAAGCAGAAAAAAAAATCACACCCACCTTTTTTTTTTAAAGCTTTGATATGACATTGAATTCTATTATAAACAATGCACTTTTATTTTTATTGGTCTTCTTTATATTGAATTCTTAGGCATGGTGCTGAACATCCATTAACACAGAACTGTGACCAAGAAAAAAGAAACAGGTTTTTTTTTTTTGTTGTTGTTGCTGGATTTGTTCTTTTACATGTGGAATCTCACAATCACATTATTGACCATTTTAATAAATACAAGCATGTTTTGATTCACAGACAACAAAATACAGCATTTTTTTTTTCACATTTCATTACAGTGCATAACAGAAGGCAAGGGAACGTATATAGTAGTATTTTATTTGGGAGTTTTTGAAATTCAGACCACAGATCTGTGCTCCAACATGCAGTTTTGAACGTGATCCGTGGGTACCAGAAAAGTTAGTTTCCAGTTTTTTCTTGTGTTCACCCTGACATATCTAGTGAGTGAGCTTGTAAAGCTAAGTAAGTCCTTAGAAGTCCTTTAACAACCATTCATTCTCGGCTTAGTGTCCAGTTATCAGATCACTGAAACATGTGCTTTGAACAACAAAAGTTTCTCTCTAGTCTAGTTAGCAAATATATTTTACAGTTACCTGCTGGATCTTAAATTTTCTGAATACTTCCAGTCAGTCAGACTGGAAAATGCCAGCAGATGGGAAAGTGTACACAGAATGGATTTCTCTAGCAAAGACTTTAGAGAAATTTTGCCTCTGCCCTTTTCACAACTGGCCTCATACAGTCAAACTCAATTATCCACTAAATAACCTTGCTTTCAGATTTGAGTAGGTGATGAAGTCTTGAGTTGGCCCAGTTGTCATTTTCTTTGATTTTGACCAATAAAGCCTTGCAACTGGTTTCTTCGACCAAAACACCCCTCTCTCTCAAGCTAGGGAATGCCTAAAATACAATTCAATTCACCGTGTTAAGTACCCACAGTGAGTACCAGGATTAGGTGCTGGGGACAGAGGTGACAAATGATCTGGGCCCTGTTCCAATGGACCTCGAAGTCCAGTGAGGACAAGACAGCATATGAAAACTAGAACACATTTTCTAATGTCATAGATGCATAGGAAAATCCTCCCCAAGATGCCTGACACACTTGGGGTAAGAGTGAGGAGACCAGGGAAAGAGCCCTTCCTGGGGAGGATTTCCTTCCTGATGGAGGTGACACCTGACCTGGGCATCCAAGGAAAGCTAGGATCAACTCATTGTCTGCTTGTGCCTTTGTTGGGAGCAGGGAGCTGACTGAGATGAGGGTTCTAGCTCAGTCTGAGCCATATCTTCCAGCTCCAAAGCTGTGTCCCAGGACAAAATCTAAGGATTGGAATGGACCCTGGGGCCCACTTAGTCCAAGCCTCTCATTTTACTGAGGAGAAAACAGTCTAGTGGGGTTTAACAGTTGACAAGTGGCAGAGACAAGAATCAGAATCATGGCCCCTAGTCACAGATCCAAATTCTGCTCTGAAGCAGCGTTGAGCACGTGGGAGCTTTGCTTCTCAGCCAGTCAATCCCATTCCGGCTCCTACATGGGCCCTTCCCCTGTGGCTTTATTTTTTTGCAAACTGATGACATGCCCACATTCACGTGGGAATTTCAGAATAAATTTAGTGGTATTTTGGATTGCTCATGCTCCTTTCCATTAACACGAAAAACAGAAAACTACTAGCTAGGTGATCTTGGACGTCACCTGGCCTTCAATTTTCTCATCTGTAGAAGGGGAATGAATAATAGACTTGTGGGGCTGACCTCACAAACTCAAAGGGGAAGTCAGAGCTTATCTAGTCCAACCCCCTCATTGGAGAGAAGAAATGGAGACCAAGAATGGGGAATGGACTTCCAGTGTCACAAAGGGAGTTAGTGTTAGAGCTGGGATTGTGGAGAAGGTCAGAGGAGAGACAGTGTATGTCAGATGCTTTGCAAGGCTAGGTCCTCATGTTGGGTGACCTCTCTGGGCCTTGGTTTCTTTGTCTGTAAAATAAAGGGGTTGGAAGAGCAAACCCCTGAAGTCCTTTTTAGCTGTACAGTTATGATCTGAGGGCTCCTTGGGGAAAGCACTTGAATGCCTCAAGAGATTTAGATGAGCGTGCTCTTTTTCCTCCCTAATTTGCAGGGAATAGTCTTAGAACACTAACATTATCTGTTCCCTTCTGGCAGGTAAGGGAGCCTTTATATTTTTGTGATACTCTGCTTCAAAAGACTGGTTTCTTTAAGCCTAGGTCCTTGGAAAATGGAACCAAGAACTGGAATGTTTCACAATTATTTATCATCCTCTCCCACCCCCACCCCCACCCCACCAGAAGGAGGGGTAATGGGCTATCATGGTAACTCAGGGTCAAAGATTGAGAACTGGGAGGGCCCTCAAGCCCACCTCTCTTTCCACCCCCCTCTCCATTTTACGGAGGAACTGAGCCCAGAAAATCAAATCAAGGGAGATTTTGTTTCCCCCACCCCCACCCCACCAGAAGGAGGGGTAATGGGCTATCATGGTAACTCAGGGTCAAAGATTGAGAACTGGGAGGGCCCTCAAGCCCACCTCTCTTTCCACCCCCCTCTCCATTTTACGGAGGAACTGAGCCCAGAAAATCAAATCAAGGGAGATTTTGTTTCCCCCCCCCACCCCTGAGAGCTGTCTTGAGACCCATTGCCCTCAGATTTTGTTACTCCTCATGTCATCATAGACCTGGAGCCAGAAGGGACCTCAGAGATCATTCAGGCTAACCCTTACATAGAACCAAAAAAACTTGTTACTCCATTCTCAGCAAGTGATTAGCCAGCCTCCACTTGTAGACCTGCAGTGAAGGGGAACTCAGTAATTTAAGAGACAGCCAATACTATTGGTGCTGGGAGAGTAAGGAAGAAGTCCTCTCATCTAGGGAAGGGACAGAACAGAACAGGGAATTCTAGCAGAAGATTGATCAGGACTTGAGAGAAGCAGACTGGAGATTTTCTATTTTTACATGTGCCTCCTCAAGGCACATGTATGGATGGACACCCCTCCACCCCAGGCAGGAAGAGGTATGGTGAGCTCTACTTGGGGGCTGGGAAGGTTAGAGTTGGACACTTTAGGAAACTAGCTTCTCCAAGAAGAGCTCGTGCTTCATAAACCCTCTTCTACTGGGGAGTGGGATGGGGGAGGGAGGGAGCACTTAGATACCTGGAGATACAGGGGTCAGAAGTCCAAAGGGTGGGTGTTAGCACATCAACAGAAGCAGGTGATAAGGGAAGAAGGCAAGGAACAGCCCTGAGCCCCTTGGGGAAGCTCAAAGATAGAGACCAGGACCCTGCTGCTTTCTGTCTTCTACCTTTTCATCCTGATTCTGGGCTCCAGGACTGAGTTGCTGTTCTATAGGGGGTCCTTCGAATACTTGGGGACAAAAGTCACTCTCCCTCTTGTCTTCTGACTAATCTCTGGAATGACTTGGCTTTCAAGTTTTCTCCCTTGGACATTTGCCATTTCACCATATTTGCCATATCTCCCCACTCTAGACAACTGTATCGATTTGTTAACCTAAATGTAGGCCTCCATTTATCCTCATTAACTTTAATCTTCTTAGATTTGGCCCAGCAGTTCTTTTTGGATCCTGATTCTGTTGTCAAAGGTGTTAGTTGTCCCTCCCAGATGCCTTTGTGCAAGTAATTGGGCTTTTAAAAAAAATCAAAGAGCCTTGCGGCATGCCACTGGACATCTCTCTCCATCTTGTCCACAAGGATTCGACAGGCCACTTTCGTGTATCACAGATTTAGAATAAAGACCTTAGGAGTCATGTAGTAGAACCCTTTCACTTTACAGATGAGAAAACTGAGGCCCAGAGAGTTTAAGCAACTTGTCCAAAATCACACAGCAAGTAGCAGAGTTGGGACTGGCACCTTAGGACTGTTTCCCTGATAGACTAATATAATAACCCTGTCAAAAACAAGGAAATAGGGAGTGCCTAGTATGAATTTTTGGCAATTCCATATTGGTTCATGGAAATTAATTCTATCCTCTGCTTAATGCTCAAAAATGCTACCATGATATTGCTTGGAATCAAAGTCAAGCTCACTAGCCACTAGTTTTCACATCATTAATATACTTCCTAATTCAATTCAAATGTGGATTCTCTTGTGAAATTGTCCACTACAAGTTAGGCCTTTTGGGCTTCCTCTCACGAATTATTTGTTGTCTTCAGTGGCTGAACTTGGTTCCTCTTTGGCATATTCATCTAGTGATGGAAGTTCTTGTGAAAAGGAATTGTGATTAGATTACAACTAACTAGAGCAAGAACTCATGCTTTTGTAGCAAAAATATAGCCAACATTGAATACCAAGAACCTTTCTTTATATGGAAACAGTTCAAAAGCTTATGGTCTGGTGGCACAAAAACCCAACTGGAGAGTACAGGATGCTGCTACTCATGGTGTGGGGCCAGTCATACCCTAACGCCTCTCCCAAAAAGTTGTGGCTCATTTGGAATGTTTAGTTAATTTAAAATTTAGGTGTAGCTAAATCTTAGTGGATTTCTTTATGAATAAAAAGAATGTAACGATTGAATGCTTAATAAATGTTTTATCTTTTAAAAAGAATCCCATTCCCTCGGTGTGTACTTTAATAAAATGTACTACTGCTGAAAAAACAAATATTGTGATATTTCCCCACCAATCCCCAGTTGTTCAAGAGGGAGGAGGGCTGGCCTAAATAATCTCTAAGGTCTCTCCTACCCCTGAGTCTAAGGTCAGTGCCAGTGAGGGACAGTGTGGTGTGATATGCTGGGGATCTGGATTGGAATCTCATCTGTCAATCACCAGCTGCTTGATCTCAGAGCTTCTTTCTCTCTGGGGCTAATAAGTTTTGGTACCTGTAAAATGTGGACAAATATCCCTGCCTGTCTGACTTCACAGAGTTGTTGGGAGAATCAAATGAGGGGAAAGACCGCCTTGAAAAGTGGGCATCTCAGTGTAAGATTTGTGGCGCCCATCCATGACAAATGGTTGTTGGTGGAATGAACCCATATTGATCTTGAGCTCAGCACTCTTGCCAGGTTAGGATGCTAAATGGGGTGAGAAAGGTGGGTTGTTGGCTGCAGGTGAAACCGAGCTCTCAAGCCCTCATTTCAGAGGTACCTCACTCAGTTATTTCTTCCTCACACACAGGACACTGGAAAAAAAAATGCCAAACACTAGGAGGGTTCCAGCTTGCATTCCACTGGGGAAACCAACACAGTAGTCATTTTCAAGAGAGCCCCAACCTGTGCTGTTAGTTTTCCCAATTAAGAAAAAAAAATCCACCTTCTTGATCATTAGGCTGGGGGTGAGGTAGGGTGTGGAGGAAATAATAGAAGCTCTAAGCACTTTACAGATCTCTCTCATTTGATCCTCACAACAACCCTTTGAGGTAGGGGCTATTATTACTCCCATTTTACAGGTGAGGAGACTGAAGCAGACACTTAGTGAAGTGACTGTGCTTGGGGTCTTTCAGGACTTCCTGACTCCAGGTCTGTGCACTGTGGGCCCCCAAGCTGTTTTCAGCTTAATGGACTCATTCCATTTTTTTTTTTTGGCTCAAGAACCTGTCCAGCTACTATAAAGTAGAGAAGAAACTGATCTGGCTGCATGTATATGTGTCCTTTGTTATGGGTCTATTTCATCATCTGTTAATGTGAGGAAGTTGTCTTCTTCCCTCCCTACTAGTCTGGGAGATTTCCTTCACTTGTCTTCCTTCTCCCTCTTGCCTGGCATTGAGCACACACATCAGGAGCTCTGAATAAATATCCCACTGACAGATGGTATCTGCCCCCATCCCTGGCCTGAGGTCAGTCTGCCACCTCTCATTAAAAGAGGCCCATGTGGTGGCCACACTAGGTAGTCCCCCAAAGGTCCTTCCTTCTACTTTGTTCTTCAGGTTCCCAAATTGAATAACTGTCATTGCATGTTCCCAACAAGCTAATGCACTTCTGCTCGATACAGCACAAAATTTCTTCTTGTATTTCCCCAACTGATGTGAATGGCTTAGAGGAAACTGGGACCAGGGCACTCCCCAAGTACAGCTTAAGATGTTCTGAATGATTTCCTAGTAGCAGAAGAGCTCAGCTACCACTTGTCATTTCCCAGGTTCCCTAGGTTCCCCTGCTTCACAGGAACAAAGAAGGCCTGGATGGAAAGTGGAGACTCGGGCCTCTGGATACATGGGTTTATTTTCCAAACCCACAACAGCTGGCTTCTCAACTTGCCACTGAAGACAAAGAGTTTAAGACTCTTGGTTTGTTCATTTTGGAAAAGCGTAGGATCAGGGTGAAGGAAGGATAAACTCTATGGAAGTTAAAGTTTCCTGCCAGGGCTCCTCACACAGACGGGCTGAAGCCCATCCAGGACCAAGGGCTTTAGAAACAACAGGTTTTGAATTTTTCTCTTCCACTTGTTAGATTAGCAATCACGACCCACTAAAATTTTGAGAGGTATTGTAGTATAGTGGATAAAGAGCTATTTCGTTTCAGAAAGACCTGCCTCTGACTCATGCTGGCTGTGTAATTCTGAGCAAATTATTTAGCCTCTCAGCACCTGAGCATCTCTCTCTCAGACATTAAGTTGCACAACAAGTGTTCATCTGAATTGGTGGAGGGTGTTTTCATCCCGAGTTCCCCCCACATCAATGAAATCCCAGGGGCAGACCTTTCCCCTCCTCTTCCCCACCCCCTCAAAAAAGGATCCCATGGCATTATGTCTATTAGAACTGTACAATTTGGGGACTGCAAGGGTCCTTGGAGAGCAACTCAAGCAGCCTCCACCTCACTGTAGGAGAAGCTACTCTGAAGCACCAGGGCTGGGGAGAGGAGGCAGAACATAGCAGTGATAATGATCCCTGAGCTCAGACACTTCACCTACAATTCCCTTGGAATATGGCAATTCTGGGGTTGGGGTTGGGAGGGGGTTTTGGTTTTTTTGTTTTTAGTTTCCTCTCTGTTCCAGCTCCCACAGACCCTCAACACAAATATCCACCATTGTGCCTTTCTGACAAGGTCTGGATTTCCCATTTGGAAATAGGGTTATTGGGAATGTGACATCATTCTCATCTGTGGCTAAAGTTACTCTCACCTGCTGGTGAGCACACTAGTATGCTACAACTCTCCATTACATTTCTGTTCAGTTAGTACAGTATGTTTTATTAATAAAAATTGTGTCTGGCTTACTAGGGTTGGCTAACATAGGCATCTCCTATCTGATTTGACAACCTCTTCTGAGGAGTGAACGACATTTGGCACAAAGCCACTCTTTACCCCTTCCCAGCCTTCCTGGATGGTAATCTCCCCCTTTTTGACCAGCTCATAGATTTCTCTAGTCAGGTCTGTGAAGGCTTTCTCCACATTAATGGCATCTCGGGCTGAGGTCTCAATGTACTTCATACCATACCCAGCAGCAACTTTCTCTGCCTCGTGTCGGGTCACTTGCCGTTGGGTGTCCAGGTCACACTTGTGACCCACCAAAACAAACACAATCTGGTAGGGCTGGACATGGACTTTGGTCTCTTCTAACCACTCGTGGACATTCTGGAAGGACCTGCGATTGGTGATGTCAAATAAGAGAAGGCCACCTACAGAGTTCCTGTAGTAGGCTCTGGTGATAGACCTAAAAAACATGAAGGAAGAAAAAAATGACATCAAGAGCTCATGGGCCTCACTCAGTCCTAATTTGGCATGCGCACACACGTGCACGCACATACACCCACATACCCCCCCCCCACGCATACAGAGTGCCTATCTGTTGGCTTCCAAGATAAGTATTTAAATTAGGCAAAACCTCAAAAGGTGTCAAAATTCATTGATTCCCAGCTCCTTTTCCCAGATTCAGCACTAGGAAGGTTTCTTAGGAGTTCATATAGTCCATCCCCCAGCCTTGAAGACAGAACTATATAGAGTGTGGCACCATGGGAAGAACACTGGATTTCAAGTCAGAGAATCTGGGTCCAAATCCTGGTGCTGCTTTCCTGCCTGTGATTGGGACCTCTGGCAGAGGGTGGGGAGGAAGGTTTAGTTCTCAATTTTAAAAATTAAGGGGTCACATTTGGATTATAAAATCTTGTAAATTGTATAATATGTCTTATGGACAACCTTTCAGAGGTAGACTAAGATTATTTAATACAATTTTTTTTTTGGGTGACACAGTCGGGGTTAAGTGACTTGCCTAGTATCACACGCTAGTAAGTGTCAAGTATCTGAGGCAGGATTTGAACTCAGGTTTTCCTGACTCCAAGGCCAGAGCTTTATCTACTGCACCATCTAGCTGCCCCCTATACAATTTTTAAAGAGCGTACTTTGGTGCATGGTGCATGCTGCATGCTAGACTTAACCTGCTCAGTAACTTCTCAAGTCAGTGTTAGGAGTGTTAGTTGGGTTCTAGTCTTTTCTTTTATGGTGGGTAAAGAACAGAACCTAGAGGGGCAGCTAGGTGGTTCAGTAGATAAAGCTCCAGCCTTGGAGTCAGGAAAACCCGAGTTCAAATTCTGCCTCAGACACTTGACACTAGCTTGTGACCCTGGGCAAGTCATTTAACCCTGAATGCCTCACCAAAAAGAAGAACCTAGAACTTGGGTGTGTGTTGGGAACTTTTTGTTTTTTATTAACATTCATAGAGAATATTAGTGACGTGGATAGTACTAAATAAAAACATAGGAATGAGAAAAAGTACGACTATTTTTAAATTAAAAGTTGTAACTGTTGCTCTTATAACTATGTGTGTCAAACTAGAATGTGTAACAAATTTGTTAGCTAAGCATTAGCTAAGCATGAAAAATAAAAATAACATTTCTTCCTGTCAGACTAGAGAATGTCCAAAGTCCCTTCCAGTTTTAGATCTATGAATCAATCAGCAAGCATTCCTATGGTGCCTACTATATGCCAGAGGCAGCTAGGTGGTGTAGCCGCTAGAGTGCTGGGCCTGGAGTCAGGAAGACTCTTCTTCCTGAGTGCAAATCCAACCACAGACATTTACTAGCTGTGTGATCCTGGGCAAGTCACTTCACCCTATTTGCCTCAGTTTCCTCATCTGTAAAATGAACTAGAGAAGGAAATAGCAAACTACTCCGGTATCTTTGCCAAGAAAACCCCAAATGGGGTCATGAAGAGTCAGACACAACTGAAAAATGACTGAACAACAAAAACAACTATGTGTCAGGCACCAGGTTGATCGATGGGAATACAAAGACACCACTGAGACAGTCCCTGCCCTCAAGGAGCTGCCATTCTAATGATTAATGAACCTGTGGGGTCTGTTTTATCTGGCTCTAGTGTGCACCAAAAACAATGGGGTAGAAGTTGCAAAGAGACACAAACCCTCACAGTCGGTGGTATCCCAAAGTGGCAGAGGCCTCCTCAAGAGGTGGAGGGCTCCCCCTCCATGGAGGTCTGGCAGCAGGGGCTGGATGAGCCCTCATTGGGTATGGGAGAGTGACGATAGACCAAATAGACTAGACGGCTATGGGGATTCCTTCCAACTCTCAAATCCTATTATCCTGATGATATATTTTAGGTGTTGTTTCTATCAAATGGTTTTCAGGGCCTATTATTTTTCTTTTCATCTTAATTCCATTTTTACAATAAGTACAGATAAAATCGATACCTTGGCTAATTTCTTCTCTTTGTTTCATAGATTCTCCATAAAAGTCCTGTAGCAGAGCATTATCATGACCTGGAGGTGACCCTTGGCTTTTCAAAGCTAAGCTAGCAAAATATAAGTTCAGGTCAGTTCTGTCATGCTGGAGAAGTACAGTCCTGGCACCAGAGTGGGCCTGCTTTCTATGGCCCAGCTGAGTGTGGAAATGCTCATTGCCAGAAGCCTCAGCTCATTACGAGATGAACCCTTTGGCCATGGCAATCGGTGAGACCAGAAAACCTTGCGAAAAGGCCTTCCAGCCTGGGCTGTCCTCCTGCCTTTGCTTTTGCTGGAACAGTGGCAAAGGAGGCTTAGAATCACAATTTTCAGACTGTCCAGCAATGGGAACTTACATCTTGGAATTCTATCCCATCCAATAAGCATTTATTAAGTACTTGCTATGTGCCAAGCTCTGGGAATAAATACCAAGACAAAAAGGAAACTGCCCCTGCCCTTGGGGAGCTTACATTCGACTGTGGAGAAACAACAAAGACGAGTGTGAGATTCTTGTCCGATAACCAAGGAGCTGAACCAACTAGCATAGAAACCGAATCAGATCACTACGGATATTTTTGCTATAAATGAAACCAGAATACAAAAAGAAAGCTGCCACTAAATAGAGGGAGGGCTCATAGGAGAACTGGTAGATTTGTCTTTATTACACATCCAAAAGTAACCAGAGAAATCCTTTCCTGAGACACTTGCTCATCTTGAAGAGCAGTGCTCCACGATGTACTTTTGCAAACAGAATGGCCTGAAGAGACCTGCAGCTTATGCATCAACCCCCTCTGGTGCATAAGCTAGAAATACCTAATTATTAAGGTGGAGAAATTTGATGACAAGTTCTACATCAACCTTGGAATTAAATCAATGAAAAGATGAGCCTAAGGGAGGGTGGTAAACAATAAAGAAGTAGGAAACAAAAGAGGACAAAGGTTTGTGGACTACATGGCAGTCTTGTGTCTGTATAGCATGAGTGTTTTCTTTTTTCTTTTTTTTTTTCAGGCAACTGAGGTTAAGTGACTTGCCCAGAGTCACACAGCTAGTGAGTGTTATGTGTTTGAGGCTGCATTTGAACTTGGGTCCTCCTGACTCCAGAGCCAGTGCTCTATCCACTGCACCACCGAGCTGCCCTTACTTCCAACTTCTGTGGGAGGTTTGGGAAAGAGTGGGAAAAGAGAGGAAGAACTGATTTGGTTAGTGAATAGTTGGCTGAGAAGGTGGTGTCATAATGGGATTTGGATTTCGTGATCATAGTTAAAGATATAAGGATGATAGGGGCAGTTAGGTGGCGTAGTGGACAGAGCACCAGCCCTGGATTCAGGAGGACCTGAGTTCAAATCCAGCCTCAGACACATAACACTTAACTAGCTGTGTGACCCTGGGCAAGTCACTTAACCCCATTGCCTAGCCAAAAAAAAAAAAAGATATAAGGATGACAAACTCCTGGCTAGGGATGGAGTTTACCTAAGGGGCAATGAATAAAATGTATTTGTTGGGTGTCTTGCAAATCTAACCAAGAAGACTTTAAATAAAGAATTGTGAGGGGAAAAAACTACCTGTCCTCCAAGCTAGATGCCATAGAGAGTAGCTACAATGAGGGAAGAATAGCAGTTGATAACACCCAGAAGTTCATAGAAGCCAAAATCCAAGAAGGATGTAAGTAAGTCAAATATATGTTCTCAACTGTCCCAAGTTTGACAACAAGAAGAGAAATTGGGAGGTTCTAACAAGGAGATTTTGACATCATAAGTGTCACTGAGACTTGGTAGGATAAAACTCACAATGGTGCTGGATGGCTTTATCTTAGTTTATCTTATTCAAAAGAAATAGGATAGGTAATATGTATATAGCATTGTATTTTTTTATTTAGTATTTTATTTTTCCTCAATTACATGTAGAAACAATTTTTAACATTTGTTTGTTTTTTTTAAAATTTTTTTTTCTAGGCAATTGAAGTTAAGTGACTTGCCCAGGGTCACACAGCTAGTAGGTGTCAAGTGTTTGGTCTGAGGCCGGATTTGCAGTCAGGTCCTCCTGACTTCAGGGCCGGTGCTCTATCCACTACGCCACCTAGCTGCCCCTTAACATTCGTTTTTAAAACTTTGAGCTCTAAATTCTCTCTCCTTCCATGTGTAGTCATGCAAAACACATTTACATATTAGTCATCCTGTAAAAGAAAACATAGACCAACCCTCCCCCCAAAAAAAAATAAAGTAAAAAGGTATGGTTTGATCTGTACTCAAACACCATCAGTTCTTTCTCTGGGGATGGATAGCATTTTTCATCATAACTCCTTCAAAGTTGTCTTGGATCATTGTGTTACTGAGAATTGTATTGGCAACAGTAAAAAGGTTTCTGAATGCTGAACACTGTATATTGAGAAGCTATGTACATGTGAAGAAATCCAGAAAGCATAAGGGAGAAATGGAGAACATTTGGGTCAAGATCAATGTGCATTAATTCAATAAGCCTTTATTGAAGACTTCTGGCCAAGATGGCTGCCTGAATGGAGGCAGACCACCCAGCTCCCTCCTACATACTGCAGCAAAAACGTGAAATTTTCACTTGACTGAATAATGATCAAGAAATCCAATGAGAAGCAATGGGGACTTTTTTTCACTCCAGAATCACACTCAAAGGTTAGCTGGAAGTCCAAAAGCAATAGAAAAGGGAGCGGCCAGCAAAGTCAGTGCCACCACAGAGATCTTGGCATACGATATTCCAAAAAGCAAAAGATAAAGGGCTTACAACCAAGATTAATGTTCCCTGCAAAACTGAGTATAATCTACAGGGGGGCAAATGGACCTTTAATGAAATAGAGAATTTGCAGGCATTTCTGATCCAAAAAAAGCAGAGCTGAACAGTAAGTCTGAGATACAAACACAGAGAGTCCCAGAGATACCTAGCAAGGCAGATTGGTTTGACCAAGTAGAAGGAGCTTGGATGATGTTGTAGTGTTAACGTTTAATGCTTGG